TGAGACTTTGCGGTGCCACGGGAAGTTGGCACCTCATATTTTCAAGGTGATATATTATGTACTGATTTGACGGAACTATTGATATAACCTATCAGGAACTGTAGAACTATTGCGGGTGCAAATAGAACTTGCATGAAAATTTGCGGTGCAAAGAAATGAGGTGCCAACTTCACACCGACCTTGATTTCAAAGAAATAAAAATACGCAATATTTATATAAAGTTCTTTGATGATATGCATTTATGATAAATATGATTTTATCCATTAATTTATAAAATAGAAATAAATAAACAAATAACATACATGAGAGAGAGGGGCAGATCATTATTTTTCGTCTCCTTACCGTCAAGTCAGCTACGAACGAGCCTCGCGTGAACCGCGATTGCCGCGATCGCCTCGCTTCGTAGCTGACTCTGCTGACTTACAATTAGTGGAAAGGAGACGGGAAATAGTGATCTGCTCCTCTCTCTCTAATGTCCGAGGCAGAGTCGAACTCAGCCGAGCGCCGCCGAACGCGGAGCGCACACGGACACGGTTGGGCGCTTGGTGTGCGTGAGCACTGTGTGCACCACCAACGGTGCTAGAGAGCAGACCGGCCCCAAAGTTTGCATCACTGTCCACGGATCGGTCGTCACACGAGCCGTACGGTTAGCCGTACGGCGCCATCGCCCGTCGTCGGCATCTCACCGCTACGAAGGCATGGCGTCTAACGGTCGAACATGAGTTTCGCGAGTTCGATGTCGAGACTCGGAATCGTCTGTAGACGACTTAGGTACCTGGCGGGGTGTTGTACTCGGTAGAGCAGTTACCACGCTGCGATCTGTTGAGACTCAGCTCTCGGCTTGGGGACTCGTCTTGTCGGTTCGACAAGGCCCAACCGGAGGAGGTACCGCGCGATCAACGAAAGCAACACGCCGCGAAAGCGACACGCCGCGAAAGCTACACGCCGCGCGCGGACTTGGCCGCAGAGACGGTCGTGTCTGTCCTAACCGGAGGTACCGCCGGCCGGCGAAACCAACACGCCGTGAAAACTGCCGTTTATGTTGCGTCGGCCTCGAAATTTCGCCGCCTGCGCCCGTAAGCGCCCGCGTGTAGGACCGTGCGTCGCCGACTGCTCGTTCGACCGGTTTGGATCTATGAGTGGTGCGGTGCGCTCGGCCCGTCGAGCAGTACGGTTGATCGTGCGAACGCGTTTGTCACGTCGCGTACGATCGTGGAACACGTACCAAGAGAGCGATTTTAAGCGACGAGTGAGAGTCGTCACATCACGAGCCGTGTATACTTCAATATGCACGAGTGACGTCATGTGTATACGTCGGATGACGGTGTAAGGCTGGTATTACATTTGTCGTACGACAAAGTTTTTAAGCGTATTGATTGGCTGAAGGATAGTAAAATTCTCGAGTATCTAGAAACTTACTATTCAGCGGCCAATCGACACGCTTGAAAAATTTGTCGTACGACAAATGTAATAGTACCCTAATGTGTACGGTGGGCACGACAGTTGAGCAAAGTCGCCCACAGTCGGTCGTGTTCGCTCGGCGCTGATCGACCACCCGCTAGGGGTGCAATTAAGATCCGAATATTCGTGATATCCGGATAATCGGATATTCGGATAACCGGTTAAAATAAAAATTATTCGAATAGCCGGATATTTGGATAATAACCATTCGGTTATTCGGATAACCGGTTAATCGTATTATCTGGATACTCGAATATCCCCATTATTCGAATATTTCGAATATACATATTATTCGGATATTTCTGATAGTAAAATAATACGCTTGCAGATATATGCATACTTTGCGTTGGTGGAAAGCGGGAAGAAAATTATATGCTTTGCGGAGACAAATGCGGTCTATTTGGGTACATTTCTATACAAGTAGAAGAGTGAAAACTTTAATTCTGCTGTAACGGAGGCGACCGGGGGGGCGCGGCCGGAAGCAGAAAAAACTGCATACCACGCGCGAGAGAGAAGGAAATAGAGCCGCAGGTGGACAATCGATAAATGGCGCGGTTGCCGCGTCGACGGCAGCCGGCAACGTCGCGCCCGCCCCCGCCTCCTCTCCCCGCGCGCCTACATCCGGGAGGTATAAAAGCCCCTCCGGAGCAGGCGTTTTTAGTCAGTCGACGCTTGGTGCTCCGACCGTCGACACCGTGCAGTGGGTACCTCCACAGGTATAAGCCGGAGTTGAATGGGTGCTCCTGTCTCCGGCTATATACCGAACCGGAGCACGCAGCGGAGGCTCTACTCCGTTGTGGGCCCCGTCCCTCAGTAGCGTACGACTAACGGGGTGCTCCTCGGCGTACATGTGCTACAATTTCGCCGTACCGGTCTCCTGTTTCCGTCCTGACTCCGTTCCCCCCGTAATCGCGGGTACCGCCGTGTTTCGCGGGGGCGGAGTGTTTTCCGCAGTAGCGTACACCTAACGGGGTGCTCCTCGGTGTACAATTGCTACTGAAAAATTCACGCATCACGAGGCGCCGCTCGGGCGTGATCCTGTCCTGACCAGATTCCTTTTCCTGATTCCTGACCGGTGTAGAACTCAGGGGGGTAATATTCGGGTGGGAAGAATATTTCTCATTAGCTCTAATAGTAAGCTCCGTAGTATTAATCCCATTACTATTTCTTTCCTTGCGGACCAGAGGGGTCCGTGCAGTCATCCCGCCTGACTGTTTCCAGTATTACCAGTGTAATTCCGTACTTTCCGTACCTCGTACTACTTATAGATCCGTATTGTACTCATTATTTTCCGTACTCCGATTTAATTCCGTATTGTACTCATTATTTTCCGTATTCCGAGTTGATTCCGACTAATCATATCCTGTTTTCTCTGTATTTAATCACAGGGCGGACCCATTGTAATATTAATCCTTTTCCTTTCCTTTATATTTTTACTCTAGGGCGGACCCATTGTAATTACCTCGATTCCATTGTATTCATCCCTGAATAAACCTCGTTCATATCGATTTCACCTTTAAACACCTGTCCAACTTATTCCCGATCCTCCCAAGCTATTACCTCACTAAGCGAATAAGATCTTGTCCTCCTTTCCTCCAGACGGCCCTGGAGCTGAGCATATTCGGCAAATAGGAGGAACGGAGGATTATTTATTTAAACCGGCACACAGCACGTCAAACACCGACCGAACGAACGCTAGCTCTTCCGACCCATTATATCAGAACCGCGTGTCTGACATTATTTTCCGCGTAGTAATAACAGATTTCGGAGTCCCGTCCGAAATCCAGTACCGGGAAGGGCCCCGACGCGCGAATAGTTTCGTTACACTGCTATTATACATATATGCGGCTATCATGTTGAACTTTAGATTTTACTATAGAGCAATATCAAGTTGACTGGTATATAACTTGCCTCCAGAAATTCAATTTTTTCGTTAGCACCGTTATATCATCAAGCCCATCATCTAATATCCGAACCGTTTTATTTCATTTTGATGATTTAATGCGCGCGATGTATTGGCCGGTTCTACTTGCACACGAAGGATATGTTATAAATTACCGGGCCCCCTGTATATGTTAGGATCACCGAATGCGAAGAAAAGTCCTATTCATATTAACATAAAATTTCTCGACTTCCCTATTCATTTATACTACGTACTTGTTGACTTCACATTGTTGATAGGTCAAGCGTCTAGTACAGCAGTGTCATGTAGGCGCTCGACCGCTAGCAAACGCTTGGTGTAGGAAGGCCAGTGATAGCAGCCATACAAAGGTTTGAAGTCTAGTTAATACTATTTCAATCGATATTCTGAATAAAAACTGAGCACGTAGCAAAGGGTAGAACATCTGAATCTTTCAGCGATAGCAATGGGGAAAAGTAAAGTGTGGCAGCATTTCATACCATCAGCCGACAATAACGAAGTGTGAGTCAAAACTTTCACATAAAGGCTCCACATGTTTGTAGAACAATTATAATAAAAAGCATAAAGTAGTGCTCGGAGCTCATCGTCATGCATTCACACTGGGTAAGTTTTTCATTTCTAACTGCCGTACTTTTTATAATAATTTCGATAGCATTCAACGTTTTCTGATGTTCCCCTTTTCAATGTTAGAGCAGGAGATTCCGTTTAATTGAGCTATTGGTTAATCGAGTCAACTGTTCATTTTGAACGAAACGCGAAGAATAGAAACGTATACAGATTTTGTACAACTGCAGTCCATAAAGAGAAGACGTCAGACTACACAAAACGAACATTCTTATTAAATATCTTTATTTTTGACGTGTAAATCTTAAAATGAGATTATATAGCGTTGAACAAAGATAAGTTACTTGCATCAAAACATTTTATATAATTTAACAAAGAAAAATATATTCTTGTTATTAAAAAATAATTTTCATTAATGGAAAGTGTTCCGGAACGAGATTGCCTATTTGAAACTGTATATTTCCTTCGGCTATCACATCGAATATTCTCGAGACGGCCAGATCCATCGCGAAGCCTGGCCTCTCGTACCGATAATAACATGCTTTGTTTCCCTCTCGTGTACCGGATTTATTTACCTAACGTGTCGCGAAAATACTGTGTGACCCGTCCGAATTAACGCTTCTTGCGAATCCGAGCGTTCGACACCGAGCAGTTGGTCACCGGATCCCGATCAATACGGATCGATAACGTTCGACAAGGCGCTTTACTTAACGGCAGAAATAATTACCGAGGAAGGCACGAGACAATACCGCACGTCTCGCTTCACTGACTGGGGCAATAAAATTGTTCAAACCAAACCGGAGCACGAGTCATTTCCAAAACCGCCTTGGCGTGCGAATCTTCCAATCTAAAGTTGTATCAGCCTAATCCCGCAACATTCTGGTCCTTCGAGCCGGATCGTCGCCAAGGACAATTACCGTTCCTGACTCAACCAGCTCGTAACCATGTCTTCCTTTGAGGAATTGGTGGCTCAGCAAACCTAGCTGATTCGATCCGTGTCCCGAGCGCTCTCCAACTTCAAAAGAATGGGACAAGCCAAAATGACACCCGCTGTCACCCGTCTACGTCTCGAGGGTTTGAAGGAAGCCTTCGACAAGTGCCAGGAGTTGGACGGCAAACTCGCCTACGTCGCTGAAGCTGAGACGAAACAATCGCACGCGTACTTCAGTAAGGACCAATTCTTGGTGTGTGAGGCCGCTTTCCACGAAGCTGCCGAGTACATGGCTGAGGTACTCGCTAGCCACGCACCGCATTCCGCTGCCGCACATGATGTAAGTGGATCTTTTGATTCGTTCCGGTCAACGTCGCATCTACCGAGGATCAACCTACCGACTTTCGATGGGAGTTTCGACCAGTGGGAAAGTTTCCGCGACAAATTTAAGTCTATGATCGTTAGCGATCCTACCTTGGCAAACGTCGATCGGATGCACTATCTTTGTTCATGTGTAAAAGGGGATGCCAGTCATGCTCTTGACCATCTCGCGGTTACGAATCATAATTTCGACGTCGCGTGGAAAGTTCTTACCTCTCGGTACGATAATCAACGGTGTCTCATTACAACACATTTGTTAACGCTTTTAAATTTACCGTCTCTTAACTCGGAAACCTCTGACGACCTTCGTAAACTTCGCGATCAAACAAACCGAGCTATACAAGCAAATACTATAGATTATAATACATCCAACTCTTGAAAAATCCTTTGTCTTGCAAGGCAACCACTGAAACAGCGCCATCTATTGTTCTGAGTTGATAAACTCTTACTTCATAGTGTTACTCGCTGGGTAACAATGTAAATGATAAATAAAAATATACGTATATGTATAGTTGTGAGATATTTTTTCAATGTAATATTTTTTGTTACAATATATCTTTTCTTATGACTATCATTAACTTTGTTAATATATGCTTTGAACAAAACATTAAAATATTTGTTTAAAAATATATTATAACAATTGTTACATATTTCCATACACAAATTTTCTTTGCAACTTAATATTAATTTAGCTTTAACATTTGCTACACTTTCTTCAAGATACATTTCTATATTATTTTTAAAACATTCATTTATAATGTCGGAGGCTTTCTTAGCTATTTCATTAGGAAAATAGAGTTTTGAGGATTCAGTATATTTTTTTAGTTCGATTTGAGTATTTATAATATCGTAATTATTATTTAAGTCGCATAAAATATTTCTGCATTCTTCATGTGGCAATCTACTACAAACCCAACCTAGGACATAACACTCTGAATTTTTTTCAGCCAAGTTATAATCAAGACTACTTTCGTGTTGTCTCTTAGAAGATTGCAACGTACTAGTAGATATATGAAAGGATTTTTTTAACATTTCCTGCCTTTGTAATAAAAAAGTACAAGCATCTACCTCACTGTTACTGTCAGTTGATGGTTGAAGCAATTGATTAACCATAATTAAGGGGATGCTGGAGTGACTACTATACCGACACTTTTTTCTATTAGAATAACTTTTAATTGGCTTTACAGAATTGAAAAATTCTTGCGCAGAATGAAAGTACGCACAAAAATGAAGAGAGGGCTGGTCGTCTTCATACCAGAAACAAAAAAATAATAATTAGAATTGTCACTTGACGACAATATTTGCTTATTACAACAATTCTACAGTTCATAGGTACAAAATGACACCAGAGCCCCCTAGGGACAACATTTCCGAACAATATCGTGCAATTAGAAGTAAGATTGAAGGCCTAGAAAAAATGTGGTTCTAATAGAAAAAAGTTGTACATAAAAATTTAGATGCAGTATAATACAAGGAGCCATATTGCGTTAGTAGTAGCTGCCGGATCTTGCAAGAGATGGCGCTGCAATCGTTAGACGAAGACAGATATATCGTGTTCACTGTCAAAACGCGGCACATGTCATACATGTGCGCTCGGTACACGAGACGTAGCTCTGTGTGGCACACGATTCGGAATATTTGACAGATTCCGACTGCGTTCCAGTATTCACTGCTACTACGGAAAATCTGTGTATAGTGTATGTGTGCACAACCAGTACTGGAAATAACCTATATTTTTAATATAGGTTATTTCCAGTACTGGTTGTGAGGAAAACATACAGGCTAAGGTTAGTATACCTTTATTACATAGAAAAATATTAGCTGACAATGATGATCGCAGAACTTATAAATCGCAAAGGTGTTTTACGTACGGTCGTGGTCAGAAAGGTTGTTCGACCGTTTATGCTAAGTTTCGGAACACAGCCCATCATGTCAGAAATTTTAGCTTCTGCTCACAAAATACTTGTATGTATTATTCTACAGATATTTGTATGTATCATTCTTTTGCTGATAGCATGTAAAATAGTAGTTAGAAACAAAAACCAGATGCGTCTCTTCTGACGGTACTGGTGTACATAAATCCCAGAAACATCTATTCCGATGGTACTGGGAAAATATGTACATATCAGATGCGTCTCTTCTGACGGTACTGATGTACATAAATCCCAGAAACATCTATTCTGATGGTACTGGGAAAATATGTACATATCAGATGTGTAGTTGGACGGTACTAATATTGTAATCAAAATTAGAAGCGTCTGCTCTTACTGATTGACTGTCTCGCTTGTGCAATACGACATGCTTCAGTCGTGTTATTTGCAGCTGACAAACCATGCGAACTTTTAGAGAGAGCAAATGGCGCGCGCAAAGCGCGCGCTTGTGTTGTCTAGTATTTAAAAAAAATTATAATATTTCAAATATATTTTAGAGATAAAACACATTTCAGTGAAACATTTATTTTGACGATACTAGCAAACTAAGCCAGAAGCGTATATTCAGACGGTACTGATTGTAGTACAATTGAGAAGCGTCTGTTCTGACAGTACTGGTAAATTTAATACTAGAAGCATCGATTCTGATGGTACTACATATGTATAACAAAAACCAGATGCGTCTCTTCTGACGGTACTGGTGTACATAAATCCCAGAAACATCTATTCTGATGGTACTGGGAAAATATGTACATATCAGATGTGACTAGTTGGACGGTACTAATTGTAATAAAAATTAGAAGCGTCTGCTCTTACTGATTGACTGTCTCGCTTGTGCAATACGACATGCTTCAGTCGTGTTATTTGCAGCTGTCAACCATGCGAATTTTTAGAGAGAGCAAATGGCGCGCGCAAAGCGTGCGCTTGTGTTGTCTAGTATTAAAAAAAAGTTATAATATTTCAAATATATTTTAGAGATAAAACACATCTCAGTGAAACGTTTATTTTGACGATACTAGCAAACTAAGCCAGAAGCATATATTCAGACGGTACTGATTGTAGTACAATCGAGAAGCGTCTGTTCTGACAGTACTGGTAAATTTAATACTAGAAGCATCGATTCTGATGGTACTACATATAATAAAAATCAGATGTGTCTTATCATGATACTACCCTAGTAGCACAGTGCATTGGATAAACATTGGCCCAATATTTGGTTATATTGGGCCAATGTTTAACCAATGTTTGCCCAATGCACTGTGCTACTAGGGTAGTCATTGCAATTATTTGCATATTTGAATCGGAGAGACGGAAAAATTTTAATGGTTGCGTTCTCACGAGAATGGGCGTTTGGAGAGGCTCATTTTATATTTTCCATATTTAAAATAATCAGCGTATTGCGTTTCGCGTGTATGTACACATGTGTATACAGGGTGTTCCCGGGTTAAACGGCCAAACTTGAAAGATATATGTGGCGGCCGTAGGCGCCCCTACGGAACGGCAACACGGCCACCACAATACAACTCGCGACCGCGCGCGCGACACGCGCGAAAACATTCAATACGAGGGAGACACCCCCGAAGCAACTCTCCACGAGACGCCGCTAGAAGCCGCATGAAAACAATAACATTCTCGGACTTGAAAAACGGTGAACTACAGTATAAAAGGGAGCGGAGATAAGCCAACTCTGCGAATCGACTCCAAAGATAATTCCCAGTGACGTATCGAGGACTCATGCGCACCAGCAAGCCGCGAGCAGTTGTTACGCCGAGGAGACAACCCCGAGCGGAACCAGCAGACGGAGTGCCTTCCTGCGACGAGACCAACACCGAGGATCTCACGAGAGCAGTCAGCGAGATCGTGCCATTCGACGAGGCACCAAAGCAGTCGGCGGAGCTTACGGAGAGCGGAGCTGCTGCAGAGCCTACAGAGAGCGGAGCGGCGACTTGCGAACCAGCGCCAGCAGAGCCAACGACTCTACGAGGCCGTCCACACCTACGCTGCATCGAGTACAGGCCGTGGCAGCCACATAAGATCGAGCTCTCGCCACCTCGCTTAACACGACCACCGCGGATCTTCATAAGCCCGTGGGACCTACGCGTGCGGCGCTTCACTAGCCCGCGATACATACAAGCGCGCCTGTTCTCTCCGGTCTCGCCGTTGCCACCGTCGCCACGATCTCCACCACGCACGGGCAGGTGCCAGACGACGCAGACCGCCGTCGCGGAAGTACGCTCACTAGGCACGCAAACTAGAGGCTGGACAACGAGCGAATCGGAATCCGAGCCAGAACCGGAGTGCCCATACGGTCCTATTAGGGTGACCATTACGGCCCCTCACATATCTTACCGAGAGCGTAATCTAGACTACCGCGCTTCTCGGTAGATATATTTTTGCCACGCGCCGCAAGGCGCACAAACTCGACCAAAAGCAAACGTTGTATATACTTGTACATAGCTGTAAATATATTTATATTCACATATTCTACTCTCGTCAATAACGGACCTCACTACTGCGATCCTCCACCAGCGAGCGAACAATTCCTTCTGCGCAAACGACAACGGGCAAACGAGCCCCCATAATATATTTAGGACCTCAATGCAAAAAAAATATTCCTCTTGAAATATGCTCGTAAACGTTCCGTTCAAGAGATATTGACTTCTGAAGTTATGAACTTTTAGGAATGAATAGTTTCGAAATAGGACTATTTCTTTGATTTAGAATTCCTTGTCTGGTAAATATACGACGGAACTTTGTTTACGAAATCGAAGGTCATTGGTAGGCTTTTATTTGCATGGTAAACAAAGCGTCGTATCATCGTACTTAGTTCGTTGAATGCTTTCGTCGAATAAACTTGTACAATCATGCCTCATACATATTCAGTTAGTGAATATGCCGATATGGTGTATTTATATGGATTTTGTGATGGAAATTCTAACGCTGCTCGCCGTGAATACGCCGTGCGATTTCCAAACAGAAGATTGCCGAACAAATCAGTATTCTCTTTAACATTTGAACGATTGAGAGAAACTGGATCACTCAATATGGTGCCCCGCACTGATGGAATTTTTGCACCTCTGCGGAATGAAAGAAGAACAGTCAGGATATTGCAGCATTTCGACCAAAATCCATCAACAAGTGTCCGAAGATCTGGTTCTGAGTTAGGAATTTCACCCACAGTCATATGGAAGACACTCTCAGCTGATGGACGTTATCCATACCATCTTCAACGTGTCCAGCATTTATTACCGGCTGATATGCCACGCAGGAGAGCATTTTGCGATTGGTTTTTAAATCAAGCAAA